TAGTTTGGCCAAGCCACTATATAGGTTCCTTGGTTTGTCCAAGCCACTATATAGGTTCCTTGGTTTGTCCAAGCCACTATATAGGTTCCTTGGTTTGTCATTGTATCAGGTCAGTTTGTTGAGTTTACACCTGTTAAGTGTTGCCATGTTTATTTGAGGTATTCTCTGTTGACCTCTTTTATAAGCTTAGTTATTAGAAATTATTGGTTTATGATGTTTTGTTTGGATTTTTGGGTAAATAAAAAAACCCAGTTTATTCAAACCACTCCTGTGTCCTGTTGCCGTACTGCTTGGTCCCTGACAATTGGCAGTTATACTTGGATATATACATGCATACTTGCACATACATGCAATAAGTAAACAAACAAAACAATGAAGAAAATAAAAACATGATCAATACTTTGAAAAAAAAGGAAGGGAGAGTTGTTTTGTCTTAATTTCTTTAACCAAAATGTGTAACTTCCTGTATGTTGTGTTCCCTAGTTACGGCCGAGTGTACACTACAGACCCGTACCACGGTTTAAATCCAGCCGCCGCTGCTTATGGAGTCGGAGCAATGGTGAGTTAACTGACAAACACTCTGCACAAAACACACTATTTATACTTTTAAGATGCACGGCACCCTCTGTATTTTCAGGGTAATGCAAGTGGATGCATGGGGTCTGCACATGTTAAGTTATGTTTGGATCCACCATAGGCCTTTCTTTTTTGTGTGTCCTCAACAGGACATTGCACTCACATTGCAAGTGAGTTAAACAAAAAAAAAGTGCACATTTGTCACATTAAATGCATCTTTTGTCGATTTGAATGCTACCTGTTTAGAGTACATTTCATAGAATAATACAGCGCTTTTACTTCATTGTTTATTGATGTGTTGTTTCTTTTTGTCTCTTCCAGGCCAGTTTATACCGGGCAGGATACAGTAGGTTTGCTCCGTACTAAAAAAAAAAAAAAAAAAAACACAAATCACATCCGAGGAATTTCACATCGCTCCCAAAAAAAACCTTTTTTCCAGCCCTTTGTTTGGCAGCAGCTCCCCTCCACTCTCCTGCAGGCGGACAATAGTGACAACTCATGTTTCTTTTTTTGTCATTTTGTGGCGACAGAGGTCATTGTGCCACATCATCAAACTCTCTGTCTCTGCCACGAAAAAAAAAAAAAACAACCCTGCGACTTTGAACTACAGGGGCGTGATTTCGGATTTTTTTTTTTACTACACTACGGGACCTGGAAGGAGTGAGACTTCACATCCTTGTCCCTCTCTGACAGTATATCCACCGCCCTATAGGAGCTCATATATCCACACTTTAAGCATACGGTATCCTCTACATTTCAAAAAGACGCTACTCTAAAAGGTACTCGAAAATGTAGGAATTATTATGATTTTTTTGTGCATTTATCCGGAAGGACCTGGGAGCATTTGACTGACAGAAACCACTCTACACGGCATGGGAATTTATCGTTTTAGCTCACTACTTTCCCCTTGAATTTACAATCATGTTAAGAAAACGACAAGGAAAAAGACGATAAAAATGACTTTTATTTTCTGCATTACCTCACTCTTCTTTGACTTATTTTTGCTGCCATTTGATAAGTATATAAAACAGCCACAGAGACATCCTGTTCTACTCATTTAACCAACAACACTAAGACGGGATCCTGTATCTCCGTCCTTTTTTCCCCGCCTCTTCTCTAAAGGCTCGTCCTCGATTTTCTCCTCGTAGCGCTTCTTCTTAAAAAAAAAAAAAAAAAACCCATCATGAAACATTCCTGCAAATCAAAGCGGGAACACACACCTACATTTCGGGATCATCCCTCCTGGCCAATCAGAGAAGGATTTAGTGAATCCCGACAGAATTAGAAATTGGGGACGCAGAGATCGAACTGAACAGAAGTGTCTGATATTTATACTCATCATTGTTAAGGACACCATGATTTGTCATTTTAAAATCCGTCAATATTACTCTGGGATTGTTTCGGGTCCGAGGAGTTTGTATGTTTCTCCATATACTCTCACTTTGTTGCTATTATTGGTTCCAAAGATTTTTATTCTGAAATAAGCACATTTTTTTTTTATTTTGGTCCTGATGTATTTCCTAGTTTTGTTTGTGTTTCTTTGTGCCTTTTATTTAGTTATATATAGTTTTCAGCACAGCACCCTGGGGAATGTCATGTTAGCAGCAGGTGCAGGATTTGGGAATTTTGACCCACAAAAACAAATTCGGACCACTCATGTATTGCCAAGACGAGGGAAATCAGAGCAGATGGAGTCATGAGGGATATGCAGAAAGACAGAGCTGATATTATGGATTGTGTTTTTGCCGTTAGGGCCAAATTACAGCGAAATAAATCGTCCAAAAACGTCCAGAAAAAGAGGAAAGGGCCGAGGGTTATTGTGAAGGTGAGAGCCATTAATCATCAGCTGACAGGACAACAAACGTCCCCTGCTGTCTATTGTTTTTTTTATTTCAGTGCAAGGAGTTTTTTTTGTATGATTGTGTGCAGTAGGTCCAATGAGTATTTTCGACGAGCATTACCTCTTGTTCTTTTTTGGGTCTTTTATTATTCCTTACAAGTATTATCAGAAGTGTTGCTATGCATGCTTTTGTGAGAGAGGAAGTCAGAATCCTGTTTTCATTATGTGCATGAATTCAAAATCATAGTGCTGGAGGAGAGGAGGACGGGGGGGACGGGGGACGGGGGGTGTTTACAGAGCAAGAGGAGGATGTTGATGCGAGGAGTAAAAGGTCCAGGGGGAAAGGAAGTTGATTTGCTTCAATACTCCGGGTTACGGCTGCTCTGTGCCTCGGTTTTGTAATCACCAGTTTAATTTGGGATGTGCGGACCCCCCGTGGTTCTCTTTTATACCGACAGTAAAATCACCTAATGATCATTTGGCTTTGAGATGAAAAGAAGACGCTGGTGCATCGAGCAGCCACTGTGGTGCAGGAATGAGTCCTAAAACCAGGAATGAGTTAGCATTATAACAGGCGCTCCCTCTTATCAAACTCAATTTTAATTTATTTTTGGTTAGACGCCTAAAATAAGGTCTGTGGTTAACACAAACTGAAGATATTTTCATCATTTGTTCAACACGTAGCTGAAAAAGACGACTAAGCTTCATCGGGCTGAACGTTAGCCACCTTTAGCTTAGTGGTGGTGACGTGAAGTCATGTAATTCCTTTATAGCCTCACGTTAGCGTACAAGACTCACTTATTGTTCTTCTACATCAAATATGTCAGTAAATACCCCACGAGTAAATATCCAAAGCTTTTAGGTGTCTAAAAACATCAGTTGCTAGCAAGTGGCAAAAAGAAACAACATTAGCCGCCATTAGCTTAGCGGTGTCATGCAACCGTGTTCACTTATAGTAGCGTTAGCTTTTTGCTACATTTCAAAAATCATAAAATTGGCGGTATAATACGGATATTATCATGCTGAACAAAGCATCATAGAAAAGGTGTTTGCCACTGATTTTAATGTCTGCAATATTTCAAAAGCTCATAAAAAAATCCCATTGGCTTTTTGTCGAGGGAGCCCTTGCGATGCTAACTCTTAACGGTAGTAAATCTGATTTGCTGCAGAGGTGCATGCTGGGACAAAGTTCTCCTCTGACCCTCGAGTCGAACAGTGGGAGGTGTTTTTGTACAGGGATTTCATAAATGACTTTGAACTGCATGTGGATTTTTTTTTTGTAATGTCACATGCTCTTAAAAGCTCATTTATCCAAGTGATTTTTTTTTCAATAGGTGACATGTATTTTCTCACAATGTTCATTTTGCCATCCTTGTGTCTGCCTTCTGTTTATTCTCTCCATTATTATTGAATGTATATAATAAATAAACTGTTTGGTTTTTAAATTGGTCTGGGAATACTTATTACTTCTATATGCTTAATAATTATTAATTTGAGCGCTTTAAATTGCATATATAAGACGTGTAATACATCGAATACTGTGGATAATTTAGCAATTTAGGGGGAAGTGCCTTGCTCAAGTACACATCTAAACTATATATACTTATATACCTTTATCAGGTTTAAAGGGAGGATTTGCCCTAAAAACACAAAAGCATATTTTTCCTCTTACCTGTAGTATAGTCATCCATTTTGATTGTTTTGGTGTGAGTTGTCGAGTGTTGGAGATGTCTGCCATCGCTCCAATATAATGAAACTAGATGGCCCTTAAAGGTCCCATGTCATGCTTTTCCGGTTATTACCCGTCCCCTAGGTTTTTCTGCATGTAAACGGTCTGCAGAGTCACAAACGCTCGAAGTACACCCTGTAGCGAGTAAAACTCTAACACAGAGAAGACCTGTCTATGCTGCCCCAGAACGCCTCGTTGGAGATTTCTCTTTTTTCCATTGTTTGCTTCCTGGGTTCTGTGACGTGTGTACACCCAAATCAACAACAAATGACCGGATTGGTCCATTTGGGCCAAGCGGAGCCCCTCACACACCAGGATCCCTTGGCTAACTAACAGGGAGTCCCTATTGACTTGCATAGAGCTCCCTGAACGCTGGTAATAGACGAGTTGGGATGGTGGAGAAATGCTCTCCGCAGACCCATTCTCAAAGCGTTATGAACCTTTTTCTTACTCAACATCAAGCCACACTTATTGTTTTTACTTCGGCTGTGAGTGTTTGTGTGCTCAGGATGAGTTTCGCTTGTTCTCGCTGTATCGCCGAACCGGAAACCTGTCCGCTCCTCGCAGCGTCCCGACCAATCACAACACACTAGGCTCACAGGGAGGGGGGGCAGGAGAGAGTGAATACCTGGTGAATACACATACTATACAGAGATGCTGAATTCGAAACCAATGTGAGTTTGGAAAATTGCACAATTTAAATCTATTAGTAGACCTCAACAATGGAAATGTGATCAGTAGAAATGGGCATGACATGGGGCCTTTAACTTATGATGTTTGAAGCGCCATAAAAAAACATTTGCAAATCTGTAAAGCAATGACTCTTTCCAGAAATGATGATCCTGCTACTCGAGAAAAAATCCATGAGCAGTTCCAGTAGAGACTATTTATCAAACTACAAACTACATGTAGCCATTTGCTTAGTTTGTACTTGGTTTCGGATGGTAACTGGTTCGAGACAGTTAAATAATTACATCTAAAAGACACTTTTGTCAGCAGTTTAATGTAGGAAACAGTGGCGGCCAGCCCATAGGGGCGCTAGGAGCGCCGCCCCCCCTCTTCCCACAGTAAAAATAAAAAATATATATATTTTAAA